TCAATAGAAGAAATAAAAGTAGCTGCTGAAATGCTGTGCTGATTTAAAGCTCAATCTCCATGAGTCCATGGCACTGTCACTAATATATTAGTTCTGTCATTGGAAGCTCTGACTGCTAAGCACAGACTAACTGCTGACTATTCTGTCTGTGTTTTTGTTATGCATAAAACTGCCAGTTAGGAACCCAGCATCTCCAAACCCTCCCAATCCAAGCTAACTGGAAAGAAGACAATCAGACAACAGCAGCTGCTTTAAGATCAAAATCTTGGAGACATCATTACTCTCAAATTACATATTCTATTAAAACTAACACTCTAAATCAGAACTTACAGTAGAAGAGGATGAGTTCTTATCTGGTGCAGCGTATCGGAAAAATGTTCCAACTTTGTCTACAGATACTGGACTGACTTCTTCCCAGCCATTTACTCTCACTTGCAACTGATGAATTCTTAGATCGTGTGTGTGCCTACCAGGTTAGATCAAGTTAAATTACTGTTAACCATTATTATACAGTGTAAATGCCAAACAGTCCAAACCAAGAACATCCTCTGGAGTCTGAATAAAGAATTTCACTGAAGCGTTTAAAAAAAAAAAGTCTCAAGAGTTTTTCCATTTCGTGGATAAAGACAGACCTGATTTTACGTCTGTTCAATTGTTCCACCTTCCCTAATGAACATACAGAAGTACAACTATGTTGTACAAGTGAAAATAAAAGTATGCTACGTATTTGTTAGGAATTTCTTCTAGTTCTTAACACTGATAACGCTTATGCTCAACAACCAATGCCCCCAGCCTCCCCAGTCCTTTAGGATAAAGGACATCTGATTTGTAATTGAGGCCCCTAAGTCTTTCTAAAAGCTCATAATGATCCAACTCACACCTAGGAACAGCTGCCACCAATAGCAATATATGCTGCTTACGAGACAACTGATCATTTCACTCTATACATGAGTTTTAAATATTTAAAAACAAAACATTAACAGGAGATTTAAAAAAATAACCACTTTTTATTTAATATCTGCTAGTGCCCTCACAACTATGATCCTGTGTGTTCCATATATGAGTGTGTCAAAAGACATCTCACAGCCTGGTCCCTTCACCTGTGTCTGAGTTTCCCTCTGGCTTCAAATTCAAATGGAATCTCTTCCCCAGTGGTAACTTCTTGCCATTCGCTGACATTATGGGCATCATCCAGCAACGTCCCATTTTCCTCAGGAACAACACCTGGACTCCCACTGTGAGACAGTGCAGCCCTGTGAAGAGAATCACATCATTTTACAAACTGACAAAAGGACTACTTCAAATAACAAGTGCTTTTTAGTCTGCCTCAGTCTATAGAAGTCCTGCAGTAAACACATATACATCGCGAATGCGTCTCACTGGTTTTCAAATTCTCTTGGGCCTCTTGAAAAAAAAAAAAAATCCTTTTTTTTTTTGTAGTAAAACTATCTCACTGTCGAAGAAAAGGCTTTTAACTAAGAAAGACTGGGAGTTGCCTATGTTTCTCTGCAAGAAAACGAAAGCACTGAAAACAATAGGGTTTGGCTGACATGTTAGAGAAGCCAGACAAATATTGTCAAAGTGATCCCACAACAGCTTCTTACCGGGTAGGTGTTGTAGTTAGGGTAGCAAACCACAGAGTGCATCCAGTATGATTTCTAAGAGCAAATGGAACAAACGGCTGCCTACGTTTTGGAGTCTTCATTTCAGCTATAAAACAGAATAAAGATTTGTCTAAATGCTTATAAGAGCATTCATCAGATGCTAATGTAATATGAGACACAATGGCTGGAGAACCACAGCCTGCACTACTGAAGAAGAACAGATCAAAGAAACAGCATAACAGATTACTAAAAACATTTAAAAATGTAGTAACTATTATAGAAATGGTTACAAAGGAAACAGAAAGTCGTCCCCTACATCAACCGCCCCAGGAACTGAGCTTAATCTGTATGCTCTTTTGTTTCTTCATATCAAGTCTTGTAAAATACTATGCCTCCAGTTATAACTAACATGTAGAAAACCTAACTAAAAACCCAATCATAATCAGTAACTTTTCACGTACATACAAATGCTCATAAAATATTAAACACATATTCACTTATAATTAAGATTTATGCTCTATTTAACGTGACAAATACGGGATTACCCGGTACCCTCTTTAAATGGGACTTTTCTCCTCAAAGACTGAATAAGTAGAATTATTTTCCTATACAGGATAAAGCCTAGTAAAAAAAGTATGAAATATAATTTGAATGCAACCAAAGGTAATCTGGTTTTGTTAAAATGCTGGGACAGCAAAACCCCAGAACAAGAAACTTCACCTACAATGTTTGACTTTTTTCAAGTATGCATTACTAACAAGCACACAAGCGTTACTCTCGTCTTCCATACTGCAGTACATCATATCTGTGAAAATATTTGCTATGTCTGGACAGAAAAAAACCCCTGTCAAATTCCAGTAACTACTTAAAAAGGAAGATAAATGGCTGCTTCCTAAATACATACATCTTTTTGTATGAGAGAAGTAGGAAGAAGGCACACAATAAATCAGCTGCTTAAAGAAAAGGTAAGACAGAAATGAAATCTATTCCACAGAATTTATCTTCAGTCACTCCAAAGGCTGACTGATCTCAAGTTGAAGTACTTCATGTTCTGAGACCCATTCATCCCACTACCACGTGTTGAACTAAGAATAACTTCAGCACAGGTTTACAGAGGCAAGAGGGATAAGGCAGGGTGGGTAGGTAGGTAAGTTTTTGAAGGAGTTATTGACGATTGCATACAACTTTCTTCCAAATCAATGACAACAAATTCCTATATACCTTACATTGTCACTGCAGACTTAAATCTGATCTCTCTAAAGCTTACAGAGAGAGTTCTTTCCAATTAAATGGCAAGAAGATGAAATTCTTGAAAATGAAAACTCTGATTTTTGCCAAGTACAAATAAAACAATCTTTTTAGTGTTGAGCTTGACTTTATACAATTTTTTGGCTAGCTCAGGTTCTACAAAATTACAGACTAGAAGCCAAGTGAACTTCTACTCTGGCATTTAATCGATGGCCAATTTATTTTTTGAGACTTTTAAAAAAGAATTTTTGGGACTATGGCCTGATTTTCAAAAGAAAACATAATGTAAAAGTTGCATTTTGAGACTACTACCTGAAAATAAAGACTACTGTTACAAGGAGGTTTTTTTCGTAATTCATTTAGTTGCAACACCCACTAAAAACAAAACCTCTTAATATTTATTGCTTGGCTGTTTGTTTTTTTTTTCCCCCCAAGAAAAACTTCCTGAAAAATATCTCAGAAGAATAAATTGTTCTATCATTTTCCGGTTTTGGGGTTTTTTTTAAACATCTATGAACTGTCTGCAACCACTCAGAGAAAATGTTTCTAAGGGGCAGTCTGAACAGGCCACAGATGTAAATTTATAGAAAGCTTTCTCTCCTCCCATTCAGCAACTTTTCTATAGGGGCAACATATTCATCAGGTATGCTGTTTTGTCTTCCATAATGTCACAAATCTTAAAAAACAAAAATTAAAAAATCTTACTTTAATCTGGATGGTTTTGCCCAAAGACTGTACTGTCAAATACAAAACAAACAAATTAACAGGGTATTTATTAGGAATGCCTTACTCCCTAAGGCTTATTGAAAACAGATTGTTCCTTCCGAAGGCATCTTAAAGTTTTAAGTAGCTAAATATACATGCTGAATCAAGCATAAGTATGTATATCAAACATACTGTTGGATATTTTTAGAATAGAAAATAAAAAATCTTGTGATTTTATTACGCTATTTTTAATCTCAGTATACTATCTCTCTAGAAAAAGGACATTGAATAGTCAACAACTCATATAACCTTCCTCAAAAAGACAGTCTTCCTACATAGGATTAGTTATACTTCTCCCTTCTTTCCTGAAGGGCCCAGAGAGGAACATAAGAGAAAGACCAGGATGAAATATTAAGTTAAGCAGCTTAAGTAGCTGTTATGTTGTTTGGTTTGGGGTTTTCTGTTTGTTTGTTTGTTTTAAATATAGAGGCCAATCTACCAGCAAGTCACACATACAACACAGTATTTATTGTACAAGAGCCTTCCAAAAAAGAAAAAAAAACTTTTTGTCTCTCTCTGCTATACAGTACCTCTAGCATAGATTTGATGCTCTAGGTTAGTCAAACTGGCTGTACTCCTAGTTCTAAGGTAGACAAGAGGAAGGCCTGGCAGACAGGAAAGACAAAGTTAGCAGGTAAGAAAAAACACAAATACAGGTAGACTCTTCCCCATCATGCATCAGGAAAGACACAGACAGTTGGCATCATGCAATCTGTGTATGAGTCAAATGCCACTAAGTTGGCATTTGAATTACTAAAATTTCTTCCAGAAGTGACACCGGGAGAAAAGCTGAAAAGACCTGCCACATATCAAGAGCTATTACTGAGAATTGTTTCACAAATATAACAGCATTTTTTCCAGAAACTCAGTCATTTAGGTCTTTGGGGATACAGAAAGAAAAAGACCACCTCTGAACTGCACACACCCTGAACTCAATACTCTTATTTAATCTTTGACAGGATAGTCACTCATTAATTGAGAAAGTGTGACAGAAAAAGGAAGCAGAACTAGCAGTGCAAAGTTCTCACTCAAAGCTAAGTAGCCAGAAAGGTTTTTGTTTTTAAAGACCTGAACACAATTGAACAAAAAATAGCATTTTTGTCTTTTTTGCCAAATATCTCTAACAAGTCATTGTATGCTATGAAGACCAAATACTTATGTTTGTAATACATTAGACAGATGACTCTCTATGTCAGGACTGTTTCAATTAAAGTGTGATTAATGAGTATCATACTCTGCCCAAAACATGGTGGATCCACCGAAGAACCCATCCAGTCTTCTGAACTGATTACATTCACTTCTTTGTCCTGTTTACAGTAATCTTCCATCCATGACTGTTTGGTACATGTGTATTGTTCTAGAGGAATATAAGCAAAGACAGTGAATGTCTCCAAGGTGGCAGTAAACAAAGTAATTGAAAAGTATGTTGAATTCATAACACTAAAGTTACTCCACTTCAACGGCAAAAGTTTTACCTCACTGCTTTTTCTATGAACCTCTTCCATAAGTTAAAGACAAACAACAGCTCATGAAATCACAGCAGCATTTTCAAAACCTAATGTTTTTATATTCTTAAGATTTTTTTTTTAAACTTTCAGTGGAATTCCATGTTCTTAAGATACTCCTGTGACAATGTAAGACCTCTCGGTGAGGAGGCAATTAACCTTAAATATTTTCATGTTAGAAGCAGTTTCTGATTTTTTTTTTCTTTTTAAGAGGTACACGCACATTCCTGCATAAATATCAAGACACCAACAGAGTCCTCTGGCACAGTACTAATCAGAAGCTAGCCCTACTACTTGTTATCACTAGTATTACAAAGCATCATGGGAACTCCTAGGAATCATTGATTTGCATCTTTTCCTCCCACCTCGGCTCCCTCTTTCTGCCAACCCCACAGGCCTTGCGGGAGAAAGGAACGAATATTCAAGGAACAAGGAAGGTTCTTCTGTTACATTTGCAAGCTCAGCCATTTACATTTTTTTATTATGACCACCAAATTATTCAGATTTGCATACCAAAGAAGCAACAATATTTCTGGGAAACGCACATAGTCATAGTCTCAGAACACAGAAGCTTACATGAAGTTTGACTTAATGATGAACAAAATATTTTGATTTCCTGAGGTGGGAATTGACAGCTCAGGTTTTCAGAGACTGCAGAACTGAAATGAGTAGCTCCCCACTATGCTTGTCAATGTACTGAAAAATGATGAGCTTATCAAAATATTTTTAAGTACTGTAAAGTATGGAAAGCTTCAGATGAAAGCCTGTTTCTGATTAAAAATAAATTTCAAATAACATATGAATTTGATAGAATTCGTATGACCAGAGAAAGAATTCCTACTAACCTCTAAAATATGTAGCTCATGTCTTTACACTTTCACAGTATCTGATAAAATACAGGCTGCCTAAATGCACACCTGTGTACAATATCACGTGAAGTATCTAGGGACTTGGGCCAAATCTCCCTCTCTCCATCTATGGGACACCAGCAGGACTCAATTAGAAATGTCTGCCATTTTCAGTACAGTGAAAACTAGACTGTACAGTGATGCTCTCGGGGAATACTCCTACGTACCTATGAAGACAGAGGTAATGTTTATATCCAAACGGTGTTTAGCCTTTACTTCCAGCTTCAGTCGGGAAGGGTGGAGGCGGCTCGAAGCTTGTTGTTGCCAAGAAACTGAACATGGCCATGGCTCAATAAATGGCTCCCAGCCTGAGAACAAACAGAAAACATCACATGTATTACACATTTGAAGGCCACACTGGAATGCTGTTTACATACCTAAGTATTTAATAATACAACTTTAATAATGAGATCCTTTACTTTCAATCTGTGTTCAAGATGAACTTGTAAGCCTACAGATTTAATTTACTAGCTAATACAAAGTTGCTCCAGCTCCTCCATTTGAACCAGCGTATACTCTATGTAGGGTCTTGCAGAAATATCTTAATTCCAAGGAAAGCATTAGAAGGCAATTACAACTTCATATTGAAGTTAGCTGGAACTAAGTTCTCTGAAATAGTTTTGAAAATTAATTTCACACTGTAAGTTGGCCTACTATTCAGTATCACAGAAGACAAAGGTCTAAAAGCTATTTAAAAAAAAAACACCCTACATATTTTTAAAAACAAAAAAACTACCTTGTTATTGACAGATAATTCCTAAGGTTGTGGCCACCAATTTTATAACAGAAAATTTAGTTTCTCAATTCAGAGAAAACACACAACTAGATTATTTCTTTTGTCAGTGGCTGACCTGTATTGAGGCATAACTTGCTTTTTTGTATCTAAAATATAAATTATGATGGTCTTCTTATGTTAAACCATTGTCTTCAGCCTAACCGCCTACCCCCATGTGCTTTTCCTCCCTGAAATAAGTAACAATTTGAATGCATCGAAACAATTAAATACTAAAAAAGAGAAGTGAATACAGAGACAGCAAGTTACGTAACTGTCATGTTCTTGGATAACCTTTTTATGCAATCACATTTTAAAAGTTCAGTGCAACTTTCATATCAGCAATCACTCTACTTTCCACATCCCTCCATCCAATATCAAGTTAGGATATCTTGTCTAAGATCACACGTTCTCACAGACACACACACGATCACAGAAGTCAAGCTTTCACATTCCCTTATATGTATTTCATGTTGGGTGAATTTCAGGCTACTGTAGTAGGCAAGGCTGTTTTCCTAAACTTAAATAAAGAAAACAACAAACCCCCCAGTATTTCACCTGAAAGCTCACGATTGTAATAATCTCCAAAGAGGGTAAAATGAGCGTAGCCTTCAGGGTTGGCTCTCAAATGTTGGAGAAAATTCAAACCTGCAAAAAAAAGTGAATGTTATATTAATGCAAAACAATGAAGTTTCCTGATTTTGTGAACTGTTAAGTAAGCAATGGAAGGTTTTGTCTTGTCTTTTACATTGAAATGGTACAAAAAGCATATCATAATACTCTTCAAATAACATTTATAGACAGCCATGCTTTACAACACGGAGCCTCCCTAGGGTTCTGCTCAGGACAGATTCCATTTGTTGTGTGATGTATAAAGGGGAAACCAGAGTCTTAACCCTACAAAGACTGTAATCTGCTTAAAAACAAAATTAAAACAAACATTAAAAAAAAACAAAACAAAACAAAAAAAGAACCCCCAAAACCCCACACAACAACCACCACCACCAAAACACTGTCAGTTGAAGTCCTAAGAAACTGGAGCATGGTGCTGAACATACACAGTAACTGATGGTAATTTTATGCAACTCACTCAGCAAAACAAGATACTCACGTGAAAAGGTTAACTCAGCAAGGGGAACGTCACAGTCCATGCAGTCATCAATAAAGCAAATGCATATACTTTCTGCTTTTATTTCCACTCCAGAGATGAACTGAAAAGGCACAATCCCCTGGCTATCTCGACCGGAAGAGGTCAGGGAAACCGGTTTCAAAGGCTCAGCATTCTTAAATAACCAACTTGCTGCTTTTTTCAAGTCACCTTAGATAAAATGAAACGACCAATCACTCATCATCTACTTTCTCAATGAAATGTACTTATTTAAAAAACATATGGAAGCAAACAAATTCCCTCTCTCTCACGAAATATAGCAAGACACCAACAGTACCTTATATGTGTTCAATTTAATAACATAAATACGAGAAGATTATAAAAATACATTGGTATTTTCTAAGAATAAGAAATGTCTTTTGAAGTTCGCAAACCAAGTGGCAACAAAATATAAATCTATATTAATACTATGAATGCCTATAAGTAAGTTGGGAAACATGACAGTGCTAAAGAAAAAGAATCACTTGTGTTAAAGCTTCATCTTCTTTTCATGTGTTACATGTAGAAGTAGGTGAAATATATGATTCAAAAAGGCAGAGATGAAAACAAGTGCTCTAAAGAGAAAGAGATGGATAATAGCAAGAAATAGGTATACCACAAAAGAAAAAAACAAACCCCAGCCCAAACCCCCAAACAAAAATACACTCAAACACCCCACACATGACATCCCAAAAGGCAGGAAGGATCTTTGGGGGGTGGTTTCTACACAGTAGTAGAACAGAAAAGTGAGAATGCTAAAGATTACTTTGGCTCTGTGTTGGCATATAAAGAGAAGGAAATACTGCCTGTGCATCAGCTACCTTACAGTCTGAAAGTTTCTTCTTAATTGCAAGTTAGGTAATATGAACAATCTGCAAGGCCAACTAAGAATACTTGAGGTTACCTTGGCAGATCAAAAGAGCTTTACGACAATCTTCCATACTGAATCCCAACTCCTGGAGGCGAGCCAGCTGTACCTCTGTAATTGAACAGTTAACCAATCATAAATCCTTGATAGCTACTTGTTTTCACTTCTAAAATTAAGATATATCTGTATGAAAAATGGGGGTTGGTTTGTTTAAGATTGCAACTGTAGAAAAAGCATATGATTCAGCACTGCTTTTACAAAAAAAAACCCGAAAACCAACCCCCCCCCCCCAGTGTTTACATTCTAGAATATATGGGCTATTTTTATTCTCCTACAGGAAGCCAACGTACTCCATGAATTTCAGTTGGGACTAAAATTTTTTTTTGTAAACCAACCCTTCATTTAGAACACAATTACTTATTTACTTTGACCTCCCCACATGACTCTCAAGTGCAGTAGCAAAGAAAGCCTTTTTCACTAGTGTGTATTTCCTCATTATTGTCAGGCAGCGGTTCCGACTACACACAATTTTTAATTTGTAAAAAAGCAATGTCACCAAAACACAAGATTACTACACACGAAAAGATCACTGGTAATTATGATGCTTTCCATTTCACTATCAATTTAACGAGTTTGAAGAGGTGGCCCCTCTTCCCCTTTAAAAGTTTGCTACCTAAGAAATACTCCATCACGATGATTTATAATGACAAGTGATGCTAAATAAAACTTACTATAAAACAACCCACTGTCATACTACAAGCAGAAAAATAATAAAAAAATAATTATACCATCAGTATAATGCTATCATCAGATAATTCAAAGCAATGAAGGGTTTTACACAAAGAAGATATCAACATCTTTTGTGTTTAGCATATAATCTAGCTTCACACTGCAGAAACCTCCTTTAGATATAAAAAATGGCTTCACTCCAACAGTTAAAAACATACCGAGAACGGGATCCAACACACGTTTGGGTGTCTCTCTCTTTTCATGTGTAAAGGAGGAAGACTCATTCACCAGTGCTAAACTAGAAGGATTAGCAGTATTTTCAGCAATCGATACAGTTGAGTCAGGCATAGCTGCACTAGTCTGTTGAGGAATTGACTTTGCAATTGCCAAGAACAGTTGAACATCATTGTATGACAGTCTGATATCCAGTGCTTGCAACTGAATCTAAATGAAAAATTAAAGATTCAGTTACCCTTTTAAACATGTTTTTCCTGTATACTTTGGATATTAACAAAGCTTTTCCCAAAGGAAGACAAAATTTAATATTAAAATCCGATGACTGCACTGTTTTAAAGCTCCACTAATAAAATTACCAAACTTGTTATTATTTACTAACAACTAAAAGCATTAAAAGCATCT